GATAGAAGTGACCAGAAGACGAGGAAGAAGACGTAAGAAGATGCTGGATGACCTTGGGGACAGAAGAGGATATTCTCATTTGAAGGAGAAAGCTCTAGATCACATTAAGTGGAGGAACTGTTTTGGAAGAGACTGTGAACCTGTTGTCTGACAGATTACTGATGAATGAATGAACAGAAGTATTTGGTTCGTCCTTGGGGGCACACGGTAGCGTAGTTTGTTGAGACACTATGATACAAGCTGGAAGGTCATGGGTTCAAGTCCCGATGAAGTCAGTGAATATTTTTCAATTGACCTAATCCTTCCAGCCGCATTACGGCCCTAGGGTGAACTCAGCCTCTAACAGAAATGAGTACCAGGAATTAATTAAATAATTTTCCTGGGGAGTAAAGCACAGCCGGCACGTAAGGCTGACAACCTTACTGCCATCTTTGAGCCGATTGTCTAGATAATGTGGTATCCTCAATGTTTCACAACCCTATGGGTCTCCACAAACTGTTACAGGGATAGCTATACTTTTACTTACTTTTTTATTTGGTTCATCCTGTTCCTTGTGGCTTACAGTATTCAAAATGGTGTTAGAAGCATCATCAGAATTGTATATAGCAGGATTTAATATTTCATCTTCTTCTAACTCATATGCACAGCTATCTATGTCTGGAAAGTTATTATCTGTTTCTAAGTCACGTATAGTTGCTTCCAATTTACTGATTTCTGCTTCTAAATTGTCTCCCACTGAATCATCATGGTCACTGTCAGTTACAATCTTTACTTCAGAAACATCCAAATGGATCACAGAAGTATTGTTAGAGTTGATGTTGGAGAGAAGCATCTTAAAAAAGAAGAAAAAGGTATATTAAACTGTAAATAAAAAATAATGCAATGCACTGATTACAGACAGATAGATTATATGCATACCAGCAGGCATTTCAGGAATAAAAAAGGGAATATCTGAAAGGCAAAACTGATGACCTTGCAGTGAACAGTAAGAACAAGAATATTAGAGACCTGTATAGAGGACCTTCTAAATCTATGTCTGGAAAGTCATTATCTGCTTCCAATTTACTGATTTCTGCTTCTAAATTGTCTTCCACTGAATTAGCATGGTCACTGTCAGTTATAATTTTTACTTCAGAAACATCCAAATGGATCACAGAAGTATTGTTAGAGTTGGTGGTGATGAGAAGCATCTTAAAAAAGAAGAAAAAGGTATTTTAAACTGTAAATAAAAAAATAATGCAATGCACTGACTACAGACAGATAGATTATATGCATTCCATGGGTGCTGATTACTCGACACATCAGCATACAAATAAACACTACAAGACAATCAACACAAGACTGTAAAAGCATGCAATGTACATGTAAGTCATGTTTAACAGTCAAAATTACAAATTTATTCTTTCCTTATAAAAAATGACATTAAATTCATATGCAACTATTCTGTTAGGTGATACTCAAATTGAGGGAGGTCAAAACTATATACTGTATGAATAAACAGTAACTACAACTTCTGTGGTCATTATCATTACACATACTAAATAAAAATAAAACATTAATTAAATGAGTCAGTGATTCAAAGTCATACAGTAGTAGAGCACAACATTAAAGCAATAAAACGAATTTGGTTTCAACACAGTCTAGGGTCAACAGAGATTTTTTGTTTGCATTATCTCTAAAAGTATAAGGCTTAAGGGAAAATGTTCTGTACATACAATCTGTTTCAGTTCTCTCAACAACTTTTCTTTAAAATATATTCGTTTCCAATAAATGTTTAGTGGGATAAATGCAGAAATGCATGTACATCATCAAGTAAAGTGGTTGTTAAACTTTTAAGTTCTAACTGAAAACTGAAGAGACTGATTTGGGGGGCAGTAAAAACTCCTCACTCTGTACACTTCAACCATGAAGATGCAGGCAGCATGTACCTCTGAAACATTGGTAACACTACCCTCACCCATATGATGCAGACACCCAAGAACATGTGCAGCTTCAATACTGGATAAGTTTCTTCTGACACCAGCATATTAACTAAATGTTGCAGTTTAAATGGTGCATTTCAAATGACAATTTGATCAAATATTTTTTATAACACAGTTAATATAAAATGGCCTACAATTTAAAATGCATAGTTTATTGATTTTATTTTGCAGGGGTTTTGCAGTGACCAATTTGGCCTGTCTGCAAAAAGTCCTATTTCCTTTGAACGACAATACTGGTTGCTCAATAGTATACTTCTTAGTGACTATATATTTGTTATTTTGTTACATTCTTTGTCATATCCAGTTGATTTGTTACTTTTAATTGACTGGAATTTTATCAGTTTCATATGCAGCTGTTTAATGATGTTTACACCTGGAAACTGACCTGGGACTTACTTTCCTAAGTACAGTAATGTGTTATCGATGCTTCCACTACATATATAATTTCAGCAATTTTTTTTTTATTTACAATAATTCTTTAGTTGATATCGAGAGTATATAGCACTGATGATAGGATGGTTAATGAATGTGGAGCATATGGTAGAATAAGTATTTGGAGACAATCATGGGTTAAATCATTTACCACTGGTTCCAACAATGTATTTCTTACTATTTGTAGAGAAAATACAAAATCTTGTTGTCTGTGATGGTATAAGATGAAAAGTTTTATAACATACACCATTTCAAATATAGTGCATGTGCACAGAAATACTCCCTATTCTAACAATTTTTTTCAGATTTATTGCAAAGGCCCCTGTGTTCTGATGGTGTACAGTAGAACTACTTGGTCTGTTGTTTATAGAGAACTTGATATTATTAGGGTCAGTGACAATATCAGAAACTTGTTTTTGGTCCATCATTCACATTGGCTAAGCCCATGGAACAGAGTACTTCTTGAAAGCCACCAGTTGCTTAACAATTCCAGAATTCCCCAACATTTTTTGGAACCTTCCCACCAGTGGTCTCTATCTTGAGCCAGATGAATCCAGTCCATACCACCCCAACTTATCTAAGATTCATTTAATATTATCCTTCCACCTTCATCTAGACCTCCTTAGTGGTCTCCTTTCTTCAGGCTTTCTCACCAAAATCCTATCTGCATTACTTTTTTTCCTCAGTAAATGCACTGCCCATCCCATCCTCCTGAACTTGGATCATTCTCATTATACTTGGCAAAGAGCACAAGTTATGAAAAGAGGCTCTTCATTATGCAGTTTTTCTCTAACTTCCAACCATTTAATCCCTGTTCAGTGCAAATATTCTCCTCAGCACCCCTTTCTCAAACACACTCACACTCATTGTTCTCTTAATGTCAGATACCACGTTTCACACCCATTCAAAAATACTGGCAAAATTAGTTTTGTATATTTTAATTTTTACATTTTTCAACAGCAGGGAAGAAAACAAAAGGTTCAAAAGGGAATGGTAAAGAACATTACCTGACTTTAATTTGTCCTTAATTTCTTCACATAATACAATCTTTATTTGTTAGTGTCATTTCCAAATATTTGAACTTTGCCACATTTTCGAAGTATCTATTAGCTGTTGTCTACTTGAGCAATAACAATGATAAAATTTGGATTACTAATGGTATAAAGACATGTTGTAAATGTAAAAGATTTTTATACAAGTTAAATGAATATAGTAACGATCCAAAAGTAAAAACTTATTATAAAAAGTATTGTCTTATTTTAAGGAAAGTAATTTATGAAGCAAAAAAATTATGTTATAATCAGTTAATTGAAATTTCTAATAACACAAAAAAAACAGCATGGAATATTATAAGAAATGGATTGCATAAATCCACCAAAGATAATTATATGCCAGTTACGTTTAAAATGTATAATAGGAACATTCAATCTAAAGATGTAGCTGATGCTTCCAATGAGTATTTTTTTAATATTGCTCATAGTCTGCAAACACATCCAGATAAAACTAATTCACCTCTTAAATTATTAAAGAATGCTTATGAGCCTATTTTTCAGAGTATGAGTAACCAAAGGAGAAATTATCAATATAATTTGTTCTTTAAAATCAAAGAAGTACTCTGGTTATGATGGGATTTCATCTAAAATATTAAAACTTTGTAGCGTCTTTATAAGTGCGCCCCTTTCCTACATCTGTAATATGTCTATCATTACTGGTGTATTTCCTGAACACTTGAAGTATGCTGTTATGAAGCCCCTGTATAAGAAAGGAGATAAGGTTGATATTACGAACTATAGACCTATTTCTATGTTGACTGTATTTAGTAAAGTTATGGAAAGACTTATGCATTGTAGATTGTGTCAGCATCTACAAGTCAATAATATTCTGTTGCAGGAACAATTTGGCTTTAGGAAAAATTTCTCAACAGACCATGCTGCTTTTTCTTTTACGACTGGCATACTTCAGGCCTGGAATAACAAACTGCAGGAATTTTTGTGACCTTGCTAAGGCTTTTGGCTGTGTTAATTATGAGATATTGACATCTAAACTAGAGTATTATGGTGTCCAGGGTTGTATATTAAATTGGTTCAAATCATATCTGTTGGATAGAAAACAGAGAGTGTACATTAAAACTAATGACGGTCAGGACTATTTTCCATCTTGGGAAAGAGTTAAGCAAGGGGGGTTCCTCAGGGGTCAGTTTTGGGACCACTTCTGTTTATTATTTACAGTAATGATTTGCCTCCATATATTAACCTTTAAACGCCGGACTTCTGAAATAGTGGTAAGCTTGAGCTGGCTGGAGTTTATTTAAACGCCCGCTGCTGGTGCGCGTTTAAATGCCCGTTGGTACTCTGCCTTTAAATGTCCGTTCCTGTTAGTGCGCCTAAACAATTTTAAGCATTGTGTTTAAAAATGATGTATCTAACTCAATTTTTATGATAAATGGATGGAACTAATTTTGTTTGTATCAGCAAAGAACATACTGTCGCATACTATAACGGAAGATTTGACATTTTTTATACAAATTATACTCCATTTTCAATTTTTTGTTTTTAATTTTGATGAGTACTGCAAAAATGATTTCCCAGTTCTTCACGGAGTTGTTCTGCATTACAAATTCATTTCTGTTTGTAAAACTTGACAAATTTTAGCAGTCCCTGATGTCATAAAACAGATGGAAGCAATAAAATCATTTGGCCTTCTGCTAGCACTGCTTACACTCTTCGGATTTTCGAATCTTTTGACTGAAGGTCAGAAGAATGAAAGAATGGCTA